AAAGAGCTAAGATATATGGAGAACACCTGAATGCACCATCCCGCCTGTGGCATGACTTTTTAGATCTTAACGAGCAGTGGGTTTTTTTTGTTTACCTGCTTTTCTCTGAGGGTAGGAGCTTGTTAATAGATACAAACAGACTGTTTATAACCTCTGCTTTGTGCATGAAGGGTTAATATGTAATAAGGAAGTCTGAGCCTTATATTCAGTTTCTAAGTTGAGTGAATGTTTCATTGATGGCTTTGTGGCGTTCTTATTAGGTGTAAGTTCCGAAAGAGTATAGCACACCTCCTGCCACCTGTTGTAGGCTTCTTATTAGGTGTGTGAGCTCTGAAGGAGTGCAGCAAACCTCATGCAATCCGCTAGACTTTTATCTTTTTCTTCTTATTATTATTAGGCGTGTGAGCGCTGAAGGAGTATAGCACTTTTGGTGAAGAACCAATTAACAGTTTATGTACAAATTGCAAAAAACGAGCACATTTTTTTCCCCATAGGAATGAAGGCAAAATTACATTTTCTAAGGTTTTTTGGAATATCTGATAAACTATTAAAGATAATAACATCAAACTTGGTCTTCCTTGTGACACAACACACTGACAAAAAATCATGACATCTATTGCGCCACCTGGTGGTCAGTTATGGGCATTTGTGATCTTTTCATATTTTCATTAATAACTCATGACCTGGCTTAGAAACAAAGTTTGCCTTCTTTATAAATAGTTAAACAGTTATGCAGCCCCTTTTTCATCTGTAAGCCACTAAATAAGTTTGTGTAAATAAACACTTAGCATGGAACCATAACATCTGGTTATTTCAAATGTTTCTCCCTTTTCCCTAGTGCCAAATGGGTTGGTAACAGGTGTACTTAGAAAAGTGAATGCAGATAAAGAGAGGGACAGGAAGCTTGGACTGCCAGTAGATATGCCCCCATTGGGGCAGTAGAACAGTCTTTGAACACCAAGGCACCAACACAGATAGAAGTGGAAATGGTAGTTAGGTGAGCACAAGCAGGATCAGCCCCTGGGCATAATGGCATGCCCTATAGGCTATATAAATACGCTCCAGATATATTGAGGTTAGGGCAGCATGGTGACGCGGTGGGTAGCACCGTTGCCTCACAGCGAGAAGGTTCTGGGTTTGTGAACTTTCTCTGCTGATTTTGTATGTTCTCCCTGTGCTTGCGTGGATTCTCTCCGCGTACTCTGGCTTCCTCCCACTGTCCAAAGCCATGCAGCTTAGGTTGATTGGTGACTCTAAATTGCCGGTAGGAGTGAATGTGTGTGTGTATGCTTGTTCGTCTGCATGTTGGCCCTGCAATAGACCGGCGACCTGTCCAGGGTGTCCCCCGCCTTTTGCCTGATGCCGGCTGGGATTGGCTCCAGCCCCCTGTGACCCCATTTGGGACTAAGCGGTATAGAGAATGAGATATATAGAGGTTCTTGTGGAGGCTTATCAGAGTAGCAGGGAGGAAGCAGCTCATTCCTAAGTCATGGAGAAAACCAGGAAGGATTTTCATCTCCAAGGAGAACGATTCATTTGAGTTTAGGCCCTACTTCAAGGCAAGATTTTTTTTTTCAGTGTAGTAGCCCAAAGGTTGTCGTGCTACCTAGAAAGTAATAATCTCAATGACACCTCAGTGCAGAAAGCCAGAATGCCGGGTTTTTCTGGATTTTTGGAGTACAGAGCATGATCTGGCATCAAATTCAGTCAGCAAAGAGGGAAAAAGAGATTTACACGTGATGTTTTTAGTTCTAGCTAATGCCTCTGGTTTTGTACCACATAGCCTACTGTGGGAATCACTAAATTATTTTAAAGTACCAGACTTAGTTAAAGGTCTAGTGAGAGAACGTTTTTAGGATATCCAGATATGTTTCACAAAAGCAGAGTATACTGAAGCTTGGTAGCAACTGGAGATCGGCATCATGTCAGGATGCACGGTCTCACCACCAGTGTTTAACATGGCAGTGGAGGTTATTATTAGGGCATCTAGATGGGTTGCAGGAGGAGAGAGGCTTCCATCAAGATATTTAGGTGTGTATTATTTACTGTTTAAGCTAATCCCATGTCTGTGTCTCCCCGTAGAATTTCATGCTCAGTTGACATAGTTATCAATCACATCACCATGGTGCCACTTACATCAGTCATTCCATCTCTCGATTATACAAGTGTTCTTGACATGTAAGTGTAAAAATCAGTTTGATAATGTTTGCTGTTTGTCAATTGGATGCATTTTAGTTTTAAGTCTCTTGTTCAGCCACCCTGGAGATTCTTCCTCTGATGTAATTTCATGCTATTCTGGCAGGATAATGTTTCTCTCACACGTACAAATGTGTAACAAGAAGCAACAAAAAAGTTCTCCAGGTCCTTTTGGTTCATATGGTCCAAGAATACATGTTTATGACATTTAGAAGAAAATAAAGTGCTCAATCTTGTCTCCCTGTCTGTCACACAGACACACACGCCACTCCATCTCTCATTTGTCTTTCAGTTCTTCTCTTTCTGTTTTCCTCTGTCACTTGCTCTGCTCTAGGACTCTTATGTATTGTGTTACATTATGTCCTTGATTCAGTCAAATCCCACATCATTCTCTACATGATATTTCAAACATGCTCTCATTTGGTCTTTTTTCATCATGTGTGGACAAACCTTATACTGCTGTGTTCTCCAAGTGCAACCAACAGCTCATGGCCAGGTAGTGTGAAGGGAGGAGGTGGAGCTCTCACACCTAAACATTCTTCAGAAATTTTACATTCTCTAGTTAGCGTTGTTATGCTTCTGTACCTTCCTGTATAATATCATAAATACACAGAGCTGATGTAGGACATAGGGGTGTAAATAGTATGTGGTGTAAACTGTGTATTTGTTTGTTTATTTGACATACTTTAGTGAGCTGTACAAGGAGCAGATAATTGCATATTAATACCCTAATGCTCATGTTCATTTATGTGGATTATTATATCTCTATCTCTTTATTGCCTTGTTTATTTAGACCACATACATATACTTGATGCCAAACCCTGTATGGCCAGCTGAGCTTGAATAAAGGCTAATTACAAAAATTCTCTTACCAGAATCATTCCATAGTATGCCAACTCTTACCATACCAAATCTCCACTTATATTTGTTTTTCATAATTTGTATGAAAACCATAGACTGAATCTTCACCAAAAGTCATAGCAGAGTATTACCAATGGGAAGACTTGACATACTTAAATTTGGTGCACAAACCTCCAAAACTGAGGGCGAAGTAGCGGGATGAAATTTTGGCCAAAGAAAAACAAAACAGAAGAATAATAATAGGAAGCCTAAAGGATACTCCATCAGAGCTTACACACGTAACAAGTAAATGTGGTGCTCCAGAATTAAACTGTTTTTGAAATTGTAGTCAATAAACCCTCAGAATATTTTTCCCAACACACAAACTGTATGAGCATGGTAGGAAGGGTATTTACCAAGTCCATTGTGTTTATTTTGTTTCTATAAAAACCTAGGCGCACCTAAACAACAGAAAGAAATATATAAAAGCTAGCAACTTTACTGACATGGACTGAAATGCCTTTTTGATGCAGTCTTTAATGTTTATGAAAATGATATGTACTACTTATTTATGAATTCAGTTCCACTTTCTGATACAGGAATAAAGATCTGTCTTTGGTAATAAATAAATTTATAATGAATACATCATTAATAAGCCATCAATTGCCATTAATAGAAACAACTTTATTTGGTCTCCTTCAGCACACTTTCAGATGTTTAACATGAGTACTGTAAACTTCACCCATCCTACTAAATAGTGTTAGATAAGCTGTTCTGAATCACTCACAGCCATGAAAACCTCAATTTGAAAATGATACAAAAAACCTTAAAGATATAGTCAGCAGTTCTAATTCATTACACAAAGGGAGAGATGGTTGAAAATGTACCAGCTCCACTGCTTCCACTTACAGCCTATACAACTAAACAATGCAGGAGGACAACAATTTAAAAAAAAGAATAAGGACTATTATCAGGGAAGGTTGACCCATGTAAACATAGCTATGTGCTACTTTCCAAAGTTGGAGACCTCTGGAATTTAAAAGGGATGAGGAGGTTTCTCTTTTTGGGTCAGTAAATTATTTGCTATGTGCCACTGAAAATTGTTATGGTCAGTATGAAAATGTTCAATTAGGTAGCTAATCTTTGTTGTAATGTTATGTTAGCAAATTAGACATTAACTGTGTCACATTAGCCTGTTTGCTAAATCAACTTTTCCAGGGACATTCAACTAAAATGGTACTTTGCAAATGTATGCGGTTGTTCTGACTTCAGCTAGAGCAGCTGGAGATTGTCTGTGCCCCACTTGCTAGCATTCTAATGTTTGCTTTGGTATCATTGCTGTGGTAATGCACACTTATTAAATGTGAATGATGTGGTTACAAGTTCCTATCTGAAGCTCCTTGTGCATTTGTGTACATGGTGATCAAAATCAAAATCCTCTGGTAGAATCACTGACTATGCCTTTAAAAAATATTATAGCCAACACTTTCTATACATCAGTACAATCTTACACCTATTTGTGATTTTGTATGAGGAACATCCAAGTGGTGCTGTGTGACTGTTAGAACTATCCTGAGTTACAATTAGTCAAAACATTAAAGCATACCAACACAAAATATCTCAGTCTTTGGTTACATTCAGATGTGTGATCTCCATGAAGGAACTGCCACTGCTTCAGATTATGCTGCTGAGAAGTTTGTTCTGATGGAGTCCTCTCGTAAGTGACGATGCTTCCTAGTGTCCTCCTCTTCATTATGTATGCGACGCTCAATAGTAATCCTGTAGTTTTTTCTGCCAAGAAATGAATCATATTAAAGCATATGTGGTTAATAAAATTTTAAAAATTGGAAAAGTTGCTATATCGATACAAGAACAATGTGATGACGTTCAATGGAAACAGAGAGAGAATTAATCATAACACGCATGAAGCATGTGGCTTAATGTGCCCATCTGAGATAGGTAGAAGATAGTATATGGGGTAAGGAAGCTGCCAAATAAAATGTGTGTAATAATAAACATGTTCTTATTAGTCTATGGTTTTACATAAATTAAGTTGCACACAAAGTTGTTTTTGTAAAGTTTTGTCCAATCATAAAATACAGTATGTAGTGTGTTTTTTGATTTTGACAATACAATTCAAAAAGCAACTTTAAGAAGCTACAAATACGAAGCAAAAACTTACATTTGTGGTTTATTCAATATGAATACACATTTACAACTGTGAGTTGACTGTTAAAAATACATCACAGGGTCACAGGCATAATACACTGAGCAGAAGAAACATTGATTCTACAAACTGCATGCATTCAAAGTTGGGACTTTATTCTTGACTACTGAAGCCTGATGGATGTGCTTTGACAGATGTGAAATGATATTTTAGGTTAGATTTAATATATCTGGGCTAGATATATTTAAATAACTTTAATTTTATTGAAGATTAGTGATGTTCACTGTGTATTCAAACATGAGAAATCTCCTGACACCCACAGACAGTTGGCTGCATGATGTGCATTTGCATCTACATGGTGTTGACACATCGAGCCTATGGCAACGGTAAGTTACCCAATTAGCTGTTAGCATACTTCTGCCTATTTAGCTTTAGGAAATGAATGTCTTTAGAACTTTTGTCAATACATAAGATCATGAATTTAGTTTATCCCACAATGTTTTCCAGTTATTTCTGTCATTAGGTTAGTGGAAAAATTCTGGTGCCAAAAGGCCTGTGTTCAACTAAAACTGTTGTATATTATGTTATTAAAGCTAGTACGCATTAAACTGTTTTCCTTAAGCAGCAGGCTGCACCATACTGGGAAATGTTGTACTGCAGTCACTTATATACAAAATTATTTTATACATTTGTTCTCTTTTACTATTTGACTTATACTTCTCTGGTGCATCAGGTCATGAATCCCAGTGCCTGCTGGACATGCAGCCTTTCAACAATCATGCTGCCACCAGTGTGGAGAGTCTACCTCTGTCCACAGTGACAATGGTGTACAAACAGGAATGGGAAATTATTATTTGCTATGTTGTCACCTGTCAATCAAATGAGTTACTGTGCTGCCAAGTTCGTTTGTGTCAGTATCGCCATTAGATAACACTTTGTTCTCAAAAACACACAAACCAGAGCATGACTGCCTGAAACACTGTATTCATACTGCAGAATCGTGTTGGTTTAGGTCATGGTTTATGCAATTGGCTGACCATAATCCTTATCATACAAGTACTGCACCAGATAAATAATATATACCTGTTACACTGGGTTTCCCATTTCTAGTCAAAGATCTATTAAACATGGATAAGTTATATTAAGAAATAATCAATAGTAAAGTATGCAAAAATTAAGAAGAAAACTTCCATGCTGCTATGTTGAACATTTATTTCAAATCTGATATACTGTATGACATCGCTGATGTGCATACCAAAACACCAGGATTCAATTCAATTAAATTTTATTTGTATAGCGCCTAATCATAACAAAAGTCATCTCAGGACTTTACAAAGTAAAGTACTTACTATTATTAATATTATAGAGGAAAACCTAACAAATCCCCCTTGAGCAAGCCCTTAGTGACAGTGTGGAGGAAAAACTCCCTTTAACGGAAGGAACCTCCAAAAGACCCTCGCTTTTGGTGGGCGGCTTTCTGCCTTGACTGGTTGGGATGAGTGGATAGAGGAGAGAGTAAAGAAGTAAAGCAACAAGACACAACAACAAACAATCAAACACTGGGCAAGTTGATGTGGCCGGTGACTTCTCATCAGAGACGTAGAGCTCCAGAGCCAGGGCTACCTGCAGAAAGGTACAGGGAGAGAGAGAGAGAGGACATACTACAGGAGAGAGGAGACACACAGGTAGTGACACGTAATGGTGGGGTATAGATGCATGCCATTATACTTCTGTGAACCATGTGCAGTAGACCTGCACTCTGAGTGAGGTTGGGATGATAAGGCACTATGAGGTCTTTAAGATACGATGGAGCCTTGTCATTAAGGCCTTTGTATGTTAGGAGAAGGATTTTAAATTCTATTCTGGATTTTACAGGGAGCCAGTGGAGAGAAGCTAATATAGGAGAGATATGATCTCTCTTGCTAGTTCCTGTCAGTATTCTGGCTGCAGCATTTTGGATTAACTGAAGACTTTTTATGGAATTATTGGGACATCCCGATAGTAAAGAGTTACAGTAGTCCAGCCTGGAAGTAATACATGCATACAGTAGATCAGTTTTTCAGCATCACTTTGAGGCAGGATGTTACTGAATTTGATATTGCGCAGGTGAAAGAAGGCAGTTCTAGAGACTTGGTTTATGTGTGATTTAAAGGACATATCCTGATCAAAAATGAGTCCAAGGAGGTAGAATACCATGAACTAAGAACCCACTAAAGTAAATAGCAAGTAATGCATAAAGTTTACTACTAGCAAACTTTATATGTCCAGCAGTTATATTATCCAAACTGCAAGCCTTTTTATCTTCTAGCTTCATAACTGCCGGTTGAATTTCTAGTACAGTAACAACTACAACTGATTCATTTATGTTACTAACCCTAAACCTGTCACTTTTAACACAGTTAAACAGATCATAATAATGGTTCTGCCATAATTGAGCAATCTGAACCACATACACTTGATGGCAATAACGTTTTACTATTATTCATGACTCTGACTTCTTTCCAGAAACCATAATAGCTTTATTTTACATCTTTCTTGCAAGTGACTCAGACCTCATTAAATTCTTTTAATCTATGTTTGAATGTATATTCATTTGTGTGCATATGAAAAATGCTGATATTATATAAGTGATAAATGTGCTTTCATACAGAATTAATGTTTTTCTTTTACACACGGTAGTTGACCTTGTTGACATAATTTACTTGTTAGCAACAAAAGAGTGAACGTCAGGTCATGTTTGTGAACTAAATGAATGAGTTCTTTCATTGAATGTTTTCTTTAGTTTTTTCTCTTTCTGTGAGTATAATTGTAAACAGGGTGTTGCTGTAAAGTAGCATATATACTCAACCTACCCTGTATAAATAAAAAAATAAATGTATTCATAATTTAAATAGCGGTTCATAGGCCACTTATGACGAACAAAAAAATCAAGGCTCATGTTTACCCCGTCCGGTATGGGGTTGTCGGGGCCCCACCCTGGTGCCAGACCTGGGGGAGGGGCTTGCATGTGAGCGCCTGGTGGCCAGGCCTATACCCATATAATTTGAAAGGTTGTATGGCCAACAGGTACTAAGAATCATGACCTGAAACAACAGACAAACAAGTATGTCACATGGCAAAATACATCATAAAAAAGAACAGCTGTATAAAATAATCTTAATTAATAAACAGTTTTACATGAACACAGGCCTTGTAGCAGCTGAGTTTTTCAATAACTTAATGACAGAAATTACTAACCGATGCATACTGTGGGATAAATTAAATTCATGAGTTTAAGTGTTGACTCAAGTCATAATGACATTCAGTCCCTAAAGCTTAATGGGAAGGAGCATGCTAACAGCTAATGGGCTAACCTACCTTTAGGCTTGCTGTGTCAGCCCCATGTAGATGCACATCATACAGCCAGCACTCAAACTGTCCATGGGCATCCAGAGACTTATCATTTTTGAACTCAGGTAAAGTGAACGTTGCTCTATGTCCTGAGACCAGGCAGCAGGTGGAATAAGTTTCCAGGTGTTAGCGAACCATTAGCTAGTTAGCTGACTGGAGAGCGCCTCATTTCCACTGCAGATCCCAACCAAGGTCATAATAATCACTGATCATCAATTTTAAAAAAGTTATTTAAATGTATCTAGCCTGTATCTATTACATTTAACCTATCATTGTATATTTGTCAAACAACATCCGCTGGGCTTCAAGAGTGAAGAATTAAGTCAAACTTTGAACCCATGAAGTTTTTATAATCAGTGCATCTTCTGTTCAGTGCATTATGCCTGTGACCCTGTGATGTATTTTGAGTCAAGGCACTGTTATGTTCATACTGGAGAAACCAGAAATGTAAGTTTTCACTTCATATTTGTAATTTCATAAAATTGTAACTTTTTCAATCATATTCTCACAGATAAAATACACACTACATATTTTATATAGGAGTTGACAAAAGAGTTTACAAAATTAAATTGTGTACAACTTAATTTTTGCACAACCATAGACAAATACACATGCATGTTTATTAGTACACACATCTTTATTGACAGCTTTCTTACCCCATAACAGTGAATCTGTGAAGGTTTTTCCACCACTTTTTCCACATGCTGAATCCGAACTTGTATAAAATGAAGAATATCATGTGACTGATGACCGGCCAGGGCCTTTCTGTGTTCTTCCCACGGGTTTCTTTTAGGTACTCTGGCTTCCCCCCACAGTCCACAAACATGCAGGTTAGGTTAACTGACAACTCCAATTTGCCAGAAGGTGTGATTATGAGTGTGAATGGTTGTCTGTTTCTATTTGTTAGCTCTGTAATAGACTGGCAGCTTGTCTAGGGGTCTCATTTATAGCCACTGCATATGCACAAAATGGGGCTTGAAATATGCGTATGCCACTTATCATGGAAAAGTCTGGACTTAAAAATAAAAAAACTTGCCAAGAGAATATGTGTATACCTGTACAGAAACTCTAAACCATTCATACATGTACTGTATGCATATTTTGAGCTTGGGGGAAATTGGTGACACTGAAAGTGAATCAGTAAACTGAAGCCAGATTTTATATTGATCCTTCTAACAGGTTAATTTCACTTTATATCAAGCCAATAATAGGGCAGCACGGTTCTCCCCATGCT